ATGTTAAAATATAAAAAATATATAAGAAAGAGCTGTAAAAATTATGTAAACTAAATAAAATATTTTTTTATTCATTCAGTTAATCCGCAGAAACTTACATGAAAAATTAGAATGTATTGTTTATCTATATAGAGAAATTAATTTTTTTTACAGCTTCAGAAACAATAATAAATGAAGAATCGCAAGGTAGTGTTCTAAGCACTGCTACGACGGAGTCCGAAAAAGTCAAAGTAAAAAACCGAAGAATGGAGATTAATTTTGATCCCGATGAAGGACCTTTCACTGTTGATAAAATAGCAGAATATGAATGGCCACTGGATCGAAAGGGTGAAACCTTTATGATACAAGAACAAATATCACAGTATCTTGGCGTAAAGTCTTTTAAGCGCAAATATCCTGATCTCAAACGCAGAGTAGTTGATATGGAAGAGAGAAATTATTTGAGGGAAAATGGATTAGTCAGTGAAGCAATGTGCGATATGGGTAAGTTTATTTTTATTAGTTTTCCTGTAAAAGGAGATTTTCATGTAAATCTCTGATTATATATACAAATTTATTATTTTATCATGTATAAATATAGAAAGAAAGTTTATCCATTTATAAGAAAGTTTTATAAAAAATAATTTATAAAAAATTTATAAAAAATAATTTATATTTATATAAATTTGAATAAACTGCCTGAATTTTTTTCTTAATAGATTATTTTACATGTATTTTCCTTCAAAAATAAAAGTTTGAAATAAAGAAGTAATATAAATAAAATTTTAGAAACTGTCAGTTTTCTATGCCTCTCTATTATGTACATTTATGTCAGTATATTATATTACAAAATGCATTTATATTGCTATATCACATTACAACAGGACTAACTGCGATATGTAGCTCCGAAGTACTAGATGTAATGTGCAGTGATTTCCCCGATCAGTACGAAGAATATCGCAAACACATGCGCGAAAAACAAGTTAAGGAACATTCCAAGAAGCAGAAGGAACTTACGGCGGCAGCAAATGCGGAGAGAAACAGGATAGATCTCGCAGAAATGGCAATGCAGTCCGCATTTACATGGAACGCTAATTTAAATAAAGCTCGCAAGGAACAGCGCAAATACTGCTTAGATCTGCAGACTTTCACAATTCATCAACCACAGAAGCAACATAAAGCCGATTCGGAGCACAAAGTTGGTCATTATCCTGTTGCTCTGATACCAGGACAGTATACCGATTATTATCGGGAATATACACCTGCAGAATTGCGGTATTATCCGCTAAATACGGTTTTATATGGACCCACACGACCTAATGAACGTAAAAGTGATAGTCAATCAGAAGGTTCTCAGAGTGATAGCGATAGCGAATCATCTTCCGATGACTCAAGGTTGGTAACAAAAGTTATAAAATATATAAAATATATAAAATATATAAAAATATAGTTTATTCTTAAGAGTTAGAATAAATTATTATATATGAATACGTAGAAATGTGATGTGAATTATTATATGTAGAATGTGATTTCAAAATAAGATACCAAAACTTGCAAACACATGTTAACAAATTAGAATTTATTCTAAACAATATTATATATTTGATTTATAATAAATTAATATTTACACATAGTATAAAGTATAAAGATGATATGATAATGATTGTATTTGAACAGTTCATCCTCTAGCGAAGGTACGCAAGATACGGAAGGATCTCAATCGACCATGGACGAAGTAGACATGGAAATCTCGAATTCAAAAGATGACACAAAGTTAAAGTGCAAGATGTGCCTGAAAGTTTTAAATAAACATAACAAGAACGAAATATTAATTCAATGTGGTACTTGCAATGGAAATGGTAAATATAATATTATAAATTGAATTGCATGATTTTTTTTTATGGAGCTAACCAAGCCTGTCATCATTTTCAGTTCATCCATCCTGTATAGATTTAACATTAGATATGGTACCACACATTCAATCATACGCATGGCAATGCACTGATTGTAAAACGTGTGTACAATGTCATGATCCTGCAGATGAAGACAAAATGCTCTTCTGTGATATGTGTGATCGTGGGTAAGTTACTTGAAAAAAAAACTTAAAGCTCCTGAGTATTCAGCTAAGAATTCTGCGTTGACGGTGGCGACACAGAATCAGACGGCGGCCTGGTGATAGCCACGCACACAAGCATGAGCTCATGTACATATCCTCTCGGTGAGCCGAAGGCGAGCATATGTACATGGGCTCGTGTTTATGTGCGTGTGTAACGTCTCGTTCAACCATTTATCGCAACGATAAATAGCTGAACTATTGAAAAGTGACGTTTTGACAAAAAAAAATGAAATTTGTGTTATGCTATTTCGTTATTATTTGCTTAATTGTGAAAATGTGAATTATCTCGTATTTATGAAAGTTCTAAAAATGGACGGAACCTATTAGTTATTTTGGAATTTTATATGTAAAAATATGTGTATATTTCACTCGTTTCAACAGCTGTTAGATCGTGTATTTCCTGCCCGAAAAGAAACTCACTTTACGTGCTTTTTATGACCATTTACTGACTGTCAAGGGAGGAAAAAGTTTTCGTCGATTTTTACAAATGTTTTAAAGCGATCTTGTTATTTAGATTTATCCAAATTGTCTTTATTTACAAAAGACATGCAACATAAATTAACGTGTCCTCACTTTTGATCACGATTCCAACATGGCCACGGCAACTACTCAGGAACCTTAATATACGCTACATATCACATAAAACTTCTGCAATTACAACTCAGAAACTCGATGCTTTAATACCTGTCTTGTTAAAAAGAGAAAAAAAGTTACACAAAATATCAATTATAATTTTTAGAAGTATGTTAATTTGCTGCACATAGAACTGCAAATTAACTATTATTTGAAATGTTTACCTATAATTTGAACCGCATGTTTAGGTATCATATCTATTGTGTTGGTTTGCGACGAGTACCACAGGGAAGATGGCATTGTCAGGAATGCGCTGTATGCGCGAACTGCGGTTCGAGAGAAGCCGGCGGTGCCAATTCGGACCGAAATAGTGTTGCGCAATGGCAACACGAATATAAAAAGGGCGAGAAAAATACTCGAATATATGTCTCGACGCTCTGTGTACCATGTTCGAAGTAAGTATATAATCAATTATTGATTTTTCGAAAAACGCTGGGCTTTAATTGCTTGATAATCTCCATTGCTCATATCATAACACTTTCGACATCTTCTCTTTTATCAAATATCTATATAGGGTGTTCAATAAGAAATTGCAATACTTGCAAAAAATATTTTCTATTGAGAAATAAAATAATTTTTTGTTTTTAATTTGATTTCTATGATACAATTTTAAAGTTTTAAAGTATTTTAGGATAATTATATCTCTTTACGGTCTTATTTAAAATTCTTTTAAAATCAAATACAGTTATGTAAACTAGAGAGAATTAACTTAAAATGAATTAAAAAATAAAGTTTTTCCTCCATTTTTGAATTATAATTTGTCGAAATGTTATTTTAATAAATTATGCGTTAAAAATTCTATTCTCAATGGTTTTGTTAAAAGTCTATAAATAATAATATGATATGAAGTGTATTAGTATGTGATGTATTGTCTTCCCCCTTTCTCCATGTACCAAGCACCATCATAATACATAATATACCCTTACCTGAATTCACTAACCACATGATCTTTATAACAAGGCTGTGGCGAAAGGGTCGCTATTGCCCGCACTGCAGTCGCTGTCATACCGCCCAAAGGCTCGACCTGGAAGCGAATCTAGTGCATTGCAGCGCATGTGACAAGTATCTGCACTTAGGTATTGACACCAAGTTTTCATATGATTCAGTTAGTTTAACATTTTGAGCGCCGAGCACATGTATTTACACATTAACTTGTGATTCTGATTTCATGTGAACAAAAATCACGGTAAATCTTACACGGGTTCATCAAAAACTGACTTCAGTCGATGAAATTAATAAGCACATAATTAGCTACATGAATCCACATTTACTACATTCTTTTATTTTTATTAAATTTTTATTGTATTCCCAGAAATTTTATTTCATGTACTTGATTTGCAAAAACATTACGGGCCACGGAGTTTAAGACGCTCAAAGTGTTAAGATCATTGCATGTTGCAATACAGGAGCATTGCACGCGCCATCGAATTTTGTTTGATCATCGCTATTTTAAAAGCCATGTTTAAATTAATTGCTATTTAGTGCGTACATATGCATATGTACATTTGCATTTCTATCTTGTTCTGTCAAATAAGAAATACAAATTGTATAGTGAATGGCCATAGTGCAAAGGTGTTTAATCTGACATATGTCTATCTTTATCCATCGAAAGATTATTTGTTTTTTTGTACCATCATCTTTTTATTAACATTATTTATTTCTTGATAATATTTTTTGCTTTAGATCGAAAAATAAAGAATCTTAAAAAAGAATTATCTGCTCAAAACAAAAATATCTAAACACCTCTGTTCTAGAGGTTAAAGCTACTGTCTCGCGATATTATATATCGTATAGAATAATATATGTGTGTAGCAATATATAATTTTTTCAGAATGCGTGGAGACCAAGGGAATAATGGTTGACAAAAAAAATTATCAATGTGATTTCTGTACACCATCGACCAGCCAGCATGTAAAGCCTTTATTGTCGAAGGTGCTCAAAACGTGAATATAATTATTGTAACATTGTCAAGAAAAAGAAAATATCGTGTTGTATAATATCAATGCCAGTGGTGTATATTATACTATTATATTAAAGTAAATAAGTTTTTTATTGAGTGCGTTTGTAGACAAATGCGCGCAAGATTTTCTTCTGGAGTACTTCATGACAAACGAGTTACATTGTACATAGTTGCGAAATGAGTCATTTAACTTTTAATTATAAATTTTTAACATATTGTTTATCGCAAGAACAGTGAATTGTTTAGTAAGAAAAAGACTGAATGTGTTTAGTTTTGAGCAAAATTACAAGATATGAAGTGACAACGCGAGAAATCGCGCATTTTCCCTTGATTATAAATTCTTTATTCTTTGACGAACTTGAAATCTATTATTGTATACCATAAGCTTGATTAAACGTGCATTTTATAACACTCTCTTTTACAGTATTAAAAAAATTCTTTTATAAAGTAAAAAAAGAATTTATTTAATATAAATTGAAAGATAAGGCGTTATCACACGTTTCACAAATTTAATTTGCGAAAATTATGTCGGCTTATCACTTACAAGAATATAAATGCAAAATAAGAACATATAATTATTGTTCATATAAGCATTGTAAAATCGAAAGCGAGTGATTTTCTAAATGTTCTGTATAGATAAAATTATTTATGTAAAAATCTAAACTTTTATGTTTAATGTAATCGTGATAATAAAAACAATTTTTCATCAATCAAGTGTAGAATAATATATATAATTTATTTTTTAAGTACACAGATATATATATATATATATATATATGT